TTACTCATGGAGTAACTGGGCAGTGAGTAACCTTCACTCTGCATTACTCATGGAGTAACTGGGCAGTGAGTAACCTTCACTCTGCATTAGCCGAGGGGGTCCTAACCCTGCAACAATGAAGGAGCTGAGTGGCCCTGGTGGAACCCAAACTGGGCATCACTGAGCAGGTTATTGCTGAGCAGGTGCTGCTCGATAGCACTGTTACTGACACCTTCCATCACTTTACTGATGATCGAGAGTAGACTGATGGGGTGGTAATTGGCCGGGTTGGATTTGTCCTGCTTTTTGTGTACAGGACATACTTGGGCAACTTTCCACATTGTCGGGTAGATACCAATGTTGTAAATGTACTGGAACATCTTGGCTAGTGGAGCGGCAAGTTATGGAGCACAAGTGTTCAGTACTATTGCCGAATGTTGTCAGGGCCCATAGCCTTTGCAGTATCCAGTGCCTCCAACTGTTTCTTGATATCACGTGGAGTGAATCGAATTGGCTGAAGACTGGTATCTGTAATGCTGGGGACCACTGGAGGAGGCCAAGATGGATCATCCACGCGGCACTTTCTGACTGAAGGTTGCTGCGAATGCTTCAGCCTTATCTTTTGCACCGACGTGCTGGGCTCTTCCATCATTGAGGATGGGGATATTTGTGGAGCCTCCTCCTCCAGTGAGTTGTTTAATTGTCCATCACCATTCACGACTGGATGTTGCAGGACTGCAGAGCTTAGATCTGATCTGTTGGTTGTGGGATCACTTCGCTCTGTCTATCACTTGCTGCTTTCGCTGTTTGGTGTGCAAGTATTCCTGTTTGGTGGCTTCACCAGGTTGATACCTCATCTTCAGGTATGCCTGGTCCTGCTCCTGGCATGCTCTCCTGTACTCTCCATTGAACCAGGGTTGATCCCCTGGTTTGATGGTAATGGTTGAGTGGGGGATATACCGGGCCATGAGGTTACACATTGTGCTGGAGTACAATTCTGCTGCTGTTGATGGCCCACAGTGCCTCATGGATGCCCAGTCTTGAGTTGCTAGATCTGTGCGAAGTCTGTCCCATTTAGCACAGTGATAGTGCCACACAACACGACGGATGTTGTTCTCAATGTGAAGGCGGGACTTTGTCCCCACAAGGACTGTGCGATGATCACTCTTACCGATTACGGTCATGGACAAATGCATCTGCAGCTGGCAGATTGATAAGGATGAGGTCAAGTATGTTGTTCCCTCTTGTTGGTTCCCTCACCACCTGCTGCAGACCCAGTCTAGCAGCTATGTCCTTTAGGACCCGACCAGCTCGATCTGTAGTACTGCTGCCGAGCCACTCTTCGTGGTGGACATTGAAATCCCCCACCCGGACGACATTCTCTGCCCTTGCCACCCTCAGTGCTTCCTCTAAGTGTTGTTCAACATGGAGGAGTACTGATTCATCAGCTGAGGGAGGACAGTATGTGGTAATCAGCAGGAGGTTTCCTTGCCCATGTTTTAATTTGAAGCCATGAGACTTCATGGGGTCCGGAGTCAATGTTGAGGACCCGAGGGCAACTCCCTCCCGACTGTATACCGCTGTGTCACCCCCTCTGCTGGGTCTGTCCTGCCGGTGGGACAGGACATACCCAGGGATGGTGACGGTGGTGTCTGGGACATTGTCTGTAAGGTACGATTCTGTGAGTATGACTATATCAGGCTGTTGCTTGACTAGTCTGTGAGACAGCTCTCCCAATGTTGGCACTAACCCCCAGGTGTTAGTGAGGAGGACTTTGCAGGGTCGACAGGGCTGTTTCTGCCGTTGTCTTTTCTGGTGCCTAGATCAATGTCAGATAGAAGTTGGTCTTAATTCCTGCAGTTATTCGAGGAGTTACTGGGCAGTGAGTAATGTTTACTCTGCATTACTCGAGGAATTACTATGCAATAAGTAATATTTGTTGCAGTCATCAAGGGACTAGTAGCCAGTGAATTACCTGTTATTATTCTAAACGTTACCAGGCAGTGAGTGAGTAATGCTCAGTCAGTATTCAAGTCAGGCTGAGCAGACAACTGTCCACTGTTATATACAGGTTGACCAGGCATTGAGTGGGTGTATAGCTCAGTGAGTTGTTTTGTCCTCCCATTTTCTCCTCGTAGCAGGTTATAAACACATTATAACAGATTATAGCAAGGATACTAAACCAGTTAATGTGAAGAAAAGCTTCCTTAATATGGTACAGTCTGAGAATGTAAATAAGACTACATGCCCTAAGTAATCCCAGTTTGCGTAGACGTAGATATTTTCCTAATGAACCAGCTCAGGGGTGTTATGACACACCTCTGAACCAGATAGGCCTCCTGGCTTAGGGGAAGGGACACTACCACTGCATCAGAAGATGCCTCGCTGCTTTAGGTTTACAGATTACATGTCGGTGCAGGGTGATGTTTAATAAGACATGTTCAGCGAGGTGTTAATCTGTGTGTGTTAAACGGTGTGTGAACATATTCTGTACAGTGTGGCTGCACAGGCATGTAGCCAAAACGACAGGTTAATGGTAAGCTGGACAGCTAATAAACATGAGGATATTACCAGGTGAGCTGAGTGATTTTCTGATTCCAGGAGGAACAGGCCAACGTCAACCTCTCAAAGTTCCGGAAAATCCAGTACGAGCTGCAAAATGCAAAGGACCGAGCGGACGCAGCCGAAAATCAAGTGAACAAACTGCGGCCAAAGGCAATGCAGCTCCACAGTTAGGTAAAGAAGTGAAAATGAGATTCTTTTACTGTATACAAAATGACTTTTCACGGTGCAGTGGGATGATACTCTTGGCTGCATGTTATTCCTTATTTAATACAGATTAGTGCCTAATGAAGTAATTGCAGGGGGGCTAGAAATTCCGACGCATTTTCTTTTTGGGCAAATTCGCAAACATTCCGGGAGCTATTTGCTGGAGCCCCATTTTACCAGCCTGTGCCTCTTCCCTGACAATTCAGAAAGCTGATCGGGACCTTCACAGTTCCTGTGGTGACTGCACCAACAGAGGCCCGAGGGACAGACTGATATCTACCAAAGTTCTGCTCGATCCACCCATAAGACCATAGGATATAGGAGCAGAATTAGGCTACTCGGATTGAGTCTGCTCAATACACTCTTAAATACACTCAGTGACCTGGCTTCCACAGACCTCTGCAGCAATAAATTCCACAAAATTCACCAGCCTCTGGCTGAAGAAATTCCTCGTCTCCTCAGTTCTAAAGAATCGTTCCTTCACTCTGAGGCTGTGCCCTTGGATCCTAGTCTCCCTTACTAGTGGAAACATCTTTTCCGTACCCACTCCAACCAGGTCTGTCAGTATTCTGCAAGTTTCAATCAGATCTAAAGAAGGGTGTCTTTAAATGAACGCTAACATTGCATTTGTCTTCCTAACTGCCGACTGACCCTGCATGTTAACCTTAAGAGAATCCTGAACCAAGACCCTGAAGTCACATTGTGCATCAGATTTCCAAAACCTTTCCCCATTTAGAAAACAGTCTACACCTTTATTCTTCCTACCAAAGTGCATAACCTCACACTTTCCCACCTTGTATTCCATCTGACACTTCTTTGCCCACTCTCCCAGTCTGTCCAAGTCCTTCTGCAGCCTCCCCACCTCCCACCTCCCTCAACACTACCTGTCCCTCCACCTTTGCGTTATCTGCGACTTAGCTACAATGCCCTCAGTTCCTTTAACCAGATCGTTAATGTATACCGTGGATAGTTGTGGTCTCGACACTGACCCCTGTGGAACTCCACTTGTCACTGGCTGCCATCCTGATAAAGACCCCTTTATCCCCACTCTTTGCCTTCTGCCAGTCAGTCAGTCCTCTATCCATGGTAGTACCTTGCCCCTAACACCATGGGCTTATAAATTTCCAGCATTCCTTCTCATGTTTCTCCAGTGGGAATTGACCCGTTGCAAGGGAACACGAATTCTAGAGATGGGTACAGAATTATCCAGGCTTATGCAGAGGCTTTTAACAGGGTGAGGATGATCTTAACTTCAGCAAGAAGAAAAACTCCAGTTTCCCAACTTTGAGTAAAAGTTTTGTTATTAAGTTCTCGGAACTTTCAGGGTGGACCAGTTTCCTGACTTCATTCATCAGGAACCTGTTTTGAATCATTAGCATGTTATGAATACTGATTAACACCCAACCTGCTGCCCAACATGCATATAATCTTCAAAGCCAAAAACATGAACTACATATGAAGCATGTACCCGGAGGGAAGGTCATAGGAATCATTCACACACTTTTTCACCCTGACATTTTAAGTTGAGGGGTCATAATTCAGCCCAAACATACCTTTGTATTGCTCCGAAAAACTACAAGGTTTTTGAAAAATATTTATTTGTGGGACGTGGGCGTCACTGGCTAGACCAGCATTTATTGTCCATCCCTAGTTGCCCCTTGAGGTGGGAGTGAGCTGTCTTCTTGAACCGCTGCAGTCCATGTGCTGTGGGTTGACCCACACTGCTATTAGGGACGGGATTTCAGGATTTTGACCCAGCAACAGTGAAGGAATGGAGATATATTTCCAAGTCAGAATGGAGGGGAATTTGGAGGTGGTGGTGTTCCCATATGTCTACTGCCCTTGTCTTTCTAGATGGAAGTGGTTGTGGGTTTGGAAGGTACTATCCGAGAATCTTTGGTGAATTTCTGCAGTGCATCTTGTAGATAGTACACACTGCTGCTACTGAGTGATGGAAAGAGTGAATATTTGTTGAATGGTGTCAATCACATGGGCTGCTTTGTCCTGGATGATGTCAAGCTTCTTGTTGGAGTATTCCATCACATAAAGTGCGAGACAATAGACAACAATGGTATTTAATCCTAAGTAAAGGCTATATGGTTTGGCAGTGCCGGTTAAGTCCAGGGATTTGGTAAGTTGGGAAAGGCAGGTGAGTTGACAAATAAAAATATTTTAAAAAATGATCAAGAAGGACTAGAAGATATCATAGTCACGCCACACGGCCACAGCCTGCAACTAAAATGTTACAGTTGACATGGAAAAATTGAATGGAAAATATTGATAAATACAACCAAAATATTATGACAATTTCTTGCAGAAATATGACCTATGTAAGATGTTTAATTATATTTAAGACTAAAACAGGATGGTAAAAGCCAATGTTACTAATATTTATGTATCTAGATTGAGAGGGTAACTGAGGTTGAAGTATTTGTATTAATAAATTTTCTTCTTATTGACACTCCTTAGGGTAGCGACTGATGGAATGCAAGATGACTTCATGACCAGACATGAGCCGCGATGAAATTTGATTGCTTGAGCTGAGACACTAGTTTAGAGAATCGAGGAGATCTTGCTGACAATGCTATGCCCCGGTTGTGAAATCAAAGATCATGGGAGGGCTGTGACACATAGAGTTTTGCCAATAGCTAAACAAGATTTACTTCGAATAATCATTTTATTGAAATTTTTTAAAGATTTAATGAAAATATGTTGGCTTTTTCACCAAGCATGGAAACATGACTGATTCACCCTTGTTAGAGAAAATGCCTCTGGCGCCATCACTGCACCATTTTAATGTTTTATAGGACTCTGCAGAGTCACGGAAATACACAAACGTACATATGTGGCTCAGTGGTAGCACTTTTCTGAGTCAGGAGGTACCAGATTCAAGACCTACTGCAGGCTTCTAGATCGTAATTGAGGCAGTCCCCAGGGATTCCTGCATGTTGCAGATTCTGTCTTTCACATTTAATGTTTAACCAGAAAATACTTCCCCACCCCACTGGCTGACGTAGATGCAAGAGATGCCACTGTTGAAGAGGAGTAAGCTTGTCTCCTGGTCAACATTTATTTGCTCAACTCAGATTAAATGATCAATGATCCATCACTGATGAGACGTTGCTATGTGGAGACTGACTAGTTGCTGCGCTTTTCCTGACATTACTGAGTGACAAAGCATTTTTAATTGAGAAGTGGACGTGAAAGTCACTATATCAGTCCAAATTCTTTCCTTGCTCATTGTAGAAGAACTGCCATTATAATGTTGAAAATGAAGAAGCAACTGCATTTCCCTCCCAAAGATCTGAGCTCCACTTCCTCATCACTCGTGATGCAGAATCTTTGGGAGAGGGTTTGGAAAGAGGTGTCTTTAAGTTGGAAATGGACAACCTGATCAGAGCATCTGAGTGCAGAACTGGGAAAATATGGTGTCCCTTATTTAAAATGAGCAAAAATAATTTACTACATCCTGATCAGGGGTGAGGAAAATAAAACAAAATGTTACAATCAAAACAGAAAGATTTGGAGTTGCCTCAAGTTCTAACGCAAGGTCACACACAACACTTCCAGATGGTCTGTCATCTGATTCATATTTCCAACAGGGTCCATTGTGGCAGCTTTCATTTTACAGATTACATTTAAATAGCAACTTTAACAGAGTGAAATAGCCCAAGGTGCTGCAACTGGAGCATAAAAATCACATAAGGAGATATTAGGGAAGTTTAACAAAATCTTGGTTAAAAGAGGTAGGTTTTAAGAATAGCTCTGAAGGCTAGGGAGGTCAGAGGTTCAGGGAGAGAATTTCAGAGGCTTATGCAACTGAAGATCTGGCATAAATCAGGGATGCAGTACACTGCTGATAAATCATCAGTGAGTGGTGCTAAATCTATTGAACTTTCAGGAATCAAAATAAATATTCTTAAACTGAAATTAGCTCAAATTTGAGAACCGTATTTTTAAATTATGAAATCAGTCAATTGAGTTGAAAATACAGAGAATGCAAAAAGCACAAATTTCTGAGCTCGGAGGATCTAGGTTCAAGTTCCACTCCAGAGATTTGAGCACAAAATTCAGGCTGACACTCCCACAGTGCAGCATGCGCAGCTTAATACTGTGTCATCAGAGAGGCTGTCTTTTGAATGAGACATTAAGAACATGAGAAATGGATCAGGAGTAGACCATGTGGCTCCTCAGGCCTGCTTCATAAAAATCAGGGCCTATCTGCACTACTAGACATAAAAGATCCTGCCATATTATTCAAAGAGTATCCTGGTCAACGTTAATTCTCAGTTGACACCAGTAAAATTGTTCATTTGCTCATTATCACTGTGGGAGCTTGCTATGTACAAACTGGTTTCTAAATTTCTTATATGATGACAACAACGGCTACATTTTAGAATTTCTTACACAGTTTGGACATACTGAGGCAGCGAAAGGTTTAGATGCAAGCTCCTTAGCTTCATTTTTGCCAATTTAGCTCTCAGCTGAAGTAATGGTAATCACATCAGCCACAGGAACTCAAGAGTTAACTAACAATCACTCAATAACTCCACATCCTACCCTCTCTCATTTCAGTGATACACTGACTCACCCAGACACATACATGATCACAGACTGTTTGAGATGGTTCCCAGAGTTGGAAATGGTGGAAATAACTAATTCTAGTAAATCCAAAAGTTTGATGTTTCATGATAGTTTGTTGCTTTGCTTTCTCCCTCCTATTTTGAATATTGCTTTGATAGCAACAATAGCTGGTGGCATGCAATAACAATAAAAAGATACAAAATGTGGAAAGAATGTGGCCAATCTTTCTCAAAGCAAAATTTATTTGTTAAAAAAACATTAAAAAAGTCCAAAGCAATTTCTGGTACTTAGAGTTGCAAAAATAAACTTTAATATAATACAAATATAAATAGATAGAAGACTGTAAGAATGCTGTGTAAAATGATGACCAATGAACATTCTGACACCTCTGGAACGTTCCTCTGTACACAGGAAGCCTTGTTCACTGTATCACATTACCTCAGCAGAGCCGCAACAGCAGTGCAGACTGTTTTGAAGGCAGTAACTGAATTAATAAGCACAATCAGAAGACATGACTGCTAAATTACTCTTGGTTGTCAATGACCATTAACCATTTACCCTCAAACATCATTTAAAAGGATGAAGTATTGACATTACGCCAGGTCCTCCATAAAAACTGAACAACTTTGATTCAGACGGGAAGTTGCCAAATACTTCAAATTGTCACAGATTTACAAATCAGTGGAAAATACAAAAACTGAAAGCCTGAAATAATAAATCAGAACATCTGTGAACGCGCAGCGCGACCACTAATATTAACCAAGAGAAATGAATATTTTAGGTGAATGTCGTTCACGAAAGCACTTCTTACAGAACATTTGTTCCAAAGGCCTACCTGTCTTGACAGATCTGGATCATCTAAGTGGGTTTCAGTGTTCCGTTATTATTGTTTTTAAGATATGTTTAGTGGCTCTAGCACAGCAAAAACTAGAGATGGTAAACAACTATCAGCATTAGTGATGACAAAACTGCTTTATTATTTAATATTTGCCAAGGATCACTTGCTGGTGGATCCCTCTGCAGCCTAATGAGGAAGGGTCACCAGACCTGAAACGTTAACTCTAAATTTTTTCTTCACAGATGCTGCCAGACCTGCTGAGCTTTTCCAGCAATGTCTGTTTTTGTTCCTTTTTTTACAGCATCTGCAGTTCTATCTGGTTTTTATTTAACATGACACAAATCAGATGCATCATCTGAGAGCTCCCTCTGATTTTAACCCTACCACAGTGAATAGGATCTGAGCAGTGGATGCTATGCTCACTACAGGGACCATGTCTCAATTGCAAATTCTATTTCAAAAGGTTCCTTCCCCTTGCTATACAGACGTTAGCATTTCCTTGGTTGCTAGTAACGTTCCTGTGCTTGTTTGATTTTGAGTTGGGAAGCAAGATGAGAAGAGGGAACAGCCCTGAAATCCGTGATGAGTCAACAGCTAAGATAAACCTAAAAATCAGAGTTTGCAGATGATCAGGGTGAAAACAGCAGCCAATTATACTAAAACCATGATGGATCTAGGCAATGCTAGGTCACTGCTCCCAAATAAAGGTGTTGAGGTTCCTCAATGTAAGATGGCAGGTTGTGTGGCACAGTTGAGAAGCAGCTACGACGTTTAATAGTAGCACTAACCATGTTGGGCAACAGACATCCTACCCTAGGAATCTGCCTGCTCAAGCTCACTTCATTCTGATCAATTCCTCTGTCGCCATTCGTATTATTTCATTGAAGTCAAAGTTGAGATATTTCCGCCAGAATCTTCGATCTCGTCCATAGACCTGAGCTGGATAACACGGGCTCTCTGAGTCAGAAGAAGACAGAGGGCAGGAATATATTATTTGATAAGCAAATATCAAAAGGCTGTTTGTCGTAATAACAAGAAAACCAACAAAAAAAACAAATCAGCCCCGACCACACTGTTTAATAGAAAGCACATGGTGGCAGCTATGTCATATTTAGACAATACACACGGCATTTCTGTGAACAGTGTATAAGTCAGGAAGTGGGCAACAGTGGGAACAGATGCAGTATAGGCCTAAGCACTTGCGTGCACGCACACAGCACAGCACAGCACAGCACAGCACAGCAGCTGATAGAATTTAAACTCAGTAAATCTAGAACTGAAAGCAAGTCTCAGTTATGGCAACAATGAAACTATCAATGTACTGATCTGGTAATCTACCATCTTACCTGGCCGACCTTGGACTTCCCTACATATACCCATCTGAAATGACCTATCAAGCCACTCAGTTCAAGGGCAGTTAGGGATGGACACCAAATGCCAGTCTTGCCAGTAACACACACATCTCATGACAGAGTAAAGCAATTTTAAAAATCCCAGGGTTGCACTGAGGTCACTGATTATAGCCTGTGCTACAAAGAGTGTTGTACTTAGACTTTAAACACATCAACTCAGGAGAACCCTTCATCATAAAAGATGAAAATGCATACATTAAATCTGGAAACTTCAGTGGGCAGCAGATAGATTAAAAACCAGTCGCTTCAGCAGTTTCTTCTGGGGAAGGAAAGCTCCATGATTCCATTTCCACACTTTGGTGAACGACAGTAGTGAAAATCAAATTAGCTAGGATTCCCATTCGTGAACATGTTTCTAGACAGTCTCAGAATAAGGAACAAACAGAAATTGCTGGCAAAACTCAGCAGGTCTGGCACCATCTGTGGACAGAAAGCTGGGTTAACGTTTCAGTTTGATAGTTCTGAAGAAGGGTTACTGGGCCCAAACCATTAACTGTTTTCTCTCTACAGATGGTGCCAAACCTGCTGAGTTTTCCCAGCAATTCCTGCTTTTGCTACTGATTTCCAACATCCGCAGTTCTTTGTTTGATTTTTCTCAAAGCTAGGAGTTGGCCATTTAGGACTGGGGAGAACTTTTTAACTCCCACACTCAAGAGGGTGGTGAATTTCAGTCATAGAGTAATGGCCCAAACTGGTCCATGTTGACCATGGTTCCCACTCAGCTAGTTCCAATTGCCCGTGTTTGGTACATATCCCTCTAAACCCTTCTCATCCATGTACCTATCCAAATGCTTTTTAAAAAAATGTTGCTATTGTACCTGCCTCAACCACTTTCTCTGGCAGCCCATTCCATACACGCACCACTCTCTGCGTGAAGAAGTTGCCCCTCAGGTCGTTCTTAAATCTTCCCCCTCTCACCTTAAACCTGTGCCCTCTAGTTTTCAATTCCCCATCCCTGGGAAAAAGACTATATGCATTTATCCTGTCTATGCCTCTCATGATTTTATACACCTCAATAAGGTCACCCCACATTCTCCTATGTTCCAAGCAATAAAGTGCTATCCTGGCCAACCTCTCCCTATAACTCAGGCCTACTAGTCCTGGCAACATCCTCGTAAATCTTCTTTGCACATTTTCCAGTTTAACTATGTCTTTCCTGTAACAGGATGACCAAAACTGCACACAATACTCCAAATGCGGCTTCACCAACGACTTATACAACTGTAACATAACGTCCCAACTCTTTTACTCAATGCCTTGACCAATGAAGACCAGCAAATCTTTGCAATTTTCCACTCTAGATTAGATGCTGAGTGTATTTAAGATAAAAGTTGACAAGATCATTGAATATGAAGGGAAGTAGCGATATGAGGTTAGTACGGGAAGATGAAATTGATGTAAATCAGCAATGGTCTTGTTGAACGTCAAAGGACCTGACTAATTGAATATTCAATTCTTTCTCCTGAGACTAAAAGATGGAGGAGCAAAGGTAGATCATTCAGACCATCAAGTCTGCTTTGCCAATGAATGAGATCATGGCTAATTTGATAACTCTCAATTCCACTTTACTGCGTTTTCCCCATAACCTTTCACTCCCTTCTGTCCATCTGTTTAAATCTTTATATCTCAGCCTATATTTACTTCCAGTAACTCTGTTGGCAGAGGTTCTTTCTCAATGGTACAGTTTTAATGATAGAGGGGTGGCACGGTGGCTCAGTGGTTAGCACTGTTGCCTCAGCGCCAGGGACTTGGGTCCGATTCCAGCCTCAGGAGGCTGTCTGTGTGGAGTTTACACATTCTCCCCGTGTCTGTGAGGGTTTCCTCTGGGTGCTCCGGTTTCCTCCCACGGTCCAAAAATGTGCAGGTTAGGTGGATTGGCCATGCTATATTGCCCATATAGTGTCCAAGGATGTGCAGGTGAGTTGGTTAGCCATGGGAAATGCAGGGTTATAGGGTAGAGGGGTGGGTCTGGGTAGGATGCCTTTTGAAAGGTTGGTACAGACTCAAATGGGCCAAATGGCCTGCTCCCACACTGTAAAGAATTCTATGATTTGAACTTCAGACACTCTTAAAAAGCTCACTTGAATGAGACACAAACTGTTTTAATCCAAGAAGACAAGGGGAGGGAGAGGAGAAAAGAAGGTTCAGACCTAATGAAAACACGTTTTTAAAGTTTAATAAATGAGAAGGAGATGCCTTACCGATACCATGAAATATTCTCGCAATGGCTCTGCCAGAGAACTTCTCCTCATGATGGATAGACAAGAATTGTCGGATATCAGCTCGGATCTGACTTTCCCAGTCTTTGAGCTGAAACACAGAGACGCCATTCGGGGTGAAATCTTACAATCACTGTCCCTCCCTCTCGAGATGTTCTTACTTTAGTAAAATAATGCTAATAGTCTTGGCCAAAAAGGAAATGAATGAGCAATGCCCCTATCAGTCTTATCCGCGAATCACACTGTTGTTAAGTGATTGGGGCTGATTTAGTACACACACAAATTGATACAATTTGACATTAGTCAATTATCCTCCATTGGTCACATTTACCTGCTCTCATCAGGAAACAGCTGAGATTTTAGACAGAGGTTCTGTTTACCATAGTCCTTAGGGACTCATTTAAACAGATTCTTATTTGCTGCAAATCCTGCCCCATCTCCAACTAAATGGCTATCAGAACACTCAATGCAATTTGTCAGTGCCAACAATGTTCTTAGTTGTCAAACCTGTTTTAGTTACAAAGTACTAGAACTCACAGTCTAATGTGGCAAAAATGAGCCAGTGGGATTACAAATTCACTCCAATTCTGTTAGGGTTCAGCACTGACAGAACAGAAACAAAGTTTTTCAAGTTTTAATAAATGAGTTCTAATAAATAATGATGGAGATGCACTCTTCACCCAGTTCATTTTTACATAACAAACAGCACCATAAAAAGGTCTGAGCCTGTACAAACCTTTGCTCTGCTCAATTCGTCCTCATCTTCTGAGTAATTCGTGCTTTGACTCTGATCATTTTTCTGATCAAAATATTCTTTCAGCACTTGTTTCAAACGTGAGCTCTTCTCCACCGAAACAGCATCTGCACAGATGCTGCAGTTCTTAAAGGCTACACTATAGGACACAGAGAGAGTGGAAAGAGAAACAGAAACTAGTCATTTATTAAAGTGGCTTGACAAATGCCACACTTTCAACATTAACTAGGAGTAATGTGATGAACCCAGTCCAACTGTAGTTAATAGAATTATCAGTGAGGAGCAAGGTTAATCATCCAATAACCTACTTCAGGTTAATGGCCACCTCCTTTGGCTTTCACTTTCAGTACAGATTGCCACACACTTACTTGAGGACCTTAGATTGTACAAGTGATCTATATGCACAACTATGAGATTGCTACAGAATAACATTCACTTTTCTGAGTACTTCACTTTACTGTAAGAAGTGATGTGTCACCTGAGGAAGCGTCTTTGACTGGGTATTTAAAGAGGGAACTAGACCGGTTAGATGGCTGGGGGTATCTACATAGGGAACCTGGGGTTGGCCCCAGGTAAAGGGTATTGAATGGAGATGTGTTAGAGATGTACTTGCTTATGTAAGGTTCGGGTATGGCATACAAGTTCTTCAACAAATGTAGCAGAGATGTCAACAAGTGGGAGATCCTCGCTCAGAAGCAACGGTCTTGGAGGAAGTTTCTGTATGAGAGATACAATTCTTTGAGAACACCCATCACCAAGAAATACAGAAAAGGAACTGGGGAAAGGAATGCGAGCGATGAAAGTCAAGGTCTCATTCCAACCCCCAGAAACAGCTGCCAGGTGTGTGGCCGGAGATGTGGCTCTAGGATCGGGCTCATCAGCCTTACCAGGGTCCCACAGAACTGAGGACCGGTGACACAGAGGTCCCTAGGTGGACAAACACACTCGTGAGCTGATTATGAAATGGAAACGTACTCCCTTTAGATAATAACACAAGGACGAGGGACAGTGATCTAAGGTTTTGGGAAGGAATTGCAGGGAAAAACTTCCCAAAAAAAAAAAGTGCTTTTTAAAAAAAAATCATTCTTTTGATGTGGATGTCACTGGCAAGGCCAGCATTTATTGCCAATCCCTAATTTCCTTTGAGGTGGTGGTCTTCTCAAACTGCCGCAGATTGTGAGGAAGATGTAAAGTGACTTCAGGAGAATTTGGACAGGCCTAGTGAATGAACAAGAACATAGCAGATGGAATATAATGTGGAAAATGTGAGGTTACCCCTTTTGGCAGGAAAAACAAACATACACAGCACTTCTTAAAAGTTAGGAGAGTTTGAAAAGTGTAGTTGTATAAGGGACCCAGGTGCCTTTGTTAATAAATCACTGAGGGCTACAATGCAGGTACAGCAAGCCATTAGGGAAGCTAAGGGAATAACGGTCTTTATCACAAGAGGATTTGAGTACAAGAGTAGTGAAGTTTTCCTTCAATTATATAGCAGCTTGGTTAGATTCCACCAGGAGTACTGTGAGCAGTTTTGGATTTCTTATCTCAGGAAAGATATTATTGCCATAGGGGGGAGTGCAAAATAGGTTCACGAGTCTTGTTCCTGGGATGGCAGGACTGTCCTGTGAAGACAGGTGCGACCTGAACTCTTACTGTCCTGACTCAGAGACAAGAGGCTGACCCTGAGTGAGTATGATTTCAGGAAGTCACTCCATCTTTGAAAGATTCATAGAGCTGTACAGCACAGAAACAGACCCTTGGACGGCATGGTGGCTCAGTGGTTTGCACTGCTGCCTCACAGCATGAATGTCTGTGTTGCGTTTGCACGTTCTCCCCGTGTCTGCGTGGATTTCCTCCAGGTGCTCCGGTTTCCTCCCACAGTCCAAAGATGTGCAGGTTGGGTGGATTGGCCATGTTAAATTGCCCGTAGTGTTCAGGGGTGTGTAGATTAGGTGGGTTATAGGGGGATGGGTCTGGGTGGGATGCTCTGAGGTTCGGTGTGGACTGTTGGGCCGAAGGGCCTGCTTCCACACTGTAGGGATTCTATGATTCTATGAGTTTGGGTAAACAGGGTCTGTATTCTTGAATTTCAAAGAATGAGAAGTGATCTCATTGAAACTTACAAATGCTTGAATAAACAGACAAGATAGATGAGTTAAGATGTTTTCTCTGCTCAGGGAGTCTAGAATCTGGTGGCAGAATCTAAAAGTGAGGATTCCACTTAGGTCAGAGATGAGAAGAGAGTTTGTTTTACTCAAAGTTGCGAATCTTTGGAATTGTCCATCTCAGAGGGTTGTAGAAGCCCAGTCTTTGAATATATTTAAGGAACAGAACGATACGTTTCTGATTACCAATGACATACAGGCTTATTTGAGATGGGGTAGGTAAAAGGCGTTGGAATGTTAGGTCATATTGACTGACTCAACAACAGCCCTGAATGGCTTTCTCCTGTTCCTATGTTCTTTATAGTGGTTACACTGAAACTGCTGTTGGGAAGAGATTTCCAGGACTTTGGCCTAATGACAGTGAAACAATGGCGATGTTATTCGAAGTCAGAATGATGTGGGGCCTGGAAGTGAAACTGTAGGTAGCTGTGTTCCCATGTATCGGCTGCCCTTCTCCTTAGTGACTGGTAATGGTCTGGGAGATCACTGCCATGGAAATGATGGAAGCAGAGGCAATGTGTGTTTTCAAAATGAAATGGATGGGCATTCAACAGAAATAAACTTATAGGGGTTACGTGGACGGTGTGACAGAATTGGACAGATTGAGATGCTCTGCACAAAGTCAATGGGCTGAATAGTTTCCATCTCTTCTGTAATGATTTCAAGACAGTCCTTCGATGACCCTAACCAGTGTTTTTCTGGACAGATGATACACACCTGTGGAATGATTTGAAGCAAGCTTTGAGGTGACATAGTGCAGTCTTTTCATGGGCCAATACTCGCTGGTGCAGGAACTTACAAACTGCATCCAGTTCCTCATTGTCGAGATCCCCAAAGGATCGGAAGTGGAAGGATAGGTTACTGAATTCCACGAGTACACCACTCTTCCCAGTGCCTTGAAACCCTACCAAAGAAGGTAAAAAATGACAAAAAAAACTAAGCGGACTGAGCAAGAACCCGAACAGTGAACTTTAGCCAAAGGGAAGCATCAGGTTTGATGAAAGGTAAAGTGAACTCCATTTCTCTCACAAACCCTGAATGATCTACTGAACATTTCCAGCAGCATCAGCAGTATCTAGATACTGTAAGGGAGAAAGCAGGTTTGTCTGGATCGGGAGTTAGTGGCTGCATTGCAAACCACATTTGTGTTCAGTCTTTCAAATGAAGAGCAGCTGAGAAATGAATTAACTAGAACAGCAAAGAACATGGAGTGAATTCCTGAGTAAATGATTGGTTAATACTAACCAGATTATGATGGGTTACATTGAAAGAAAGTTGCCTAGTGACATCAGTGAAGACAGAAGGTTTAATATTGTTTAGTTTGGCAGGTAAGTGAAAACATGCTCTGATTAATTAAGTCTACACAAACATAGAACTTAGGAGTATGGTAAAATCTGGATAAGGATCTGGGGTAGTGAAGTATGCAGCAGTCACAAAGTAGTATGTGACAGAAGTATTCAAAAGTACATTTCAGAAAGTACCAGAGTGTTGAGTTATTCAGGCAGGGAGTCAGCTAGCTATACCTAGAGGCAACATAACTAGAGGGAAAAGGTTTCCAGAAGAAACATCAAAGAAGATTCAACACAACAAGTGATGCGGAAAAAAATAACTCAATGACTGCATAACAGAGGACAAAGAAAAACAAAAAATTGTCCAAAACACAGACACAATTCTCTATTGATAATGAAGACAAGGAAAGAACCATAAGGGTATTCAACATGTGAACATGGGACACAGGAATATAGGAGGAGGCCATGTAAACTCATGAATCTGTTCCACCATTTCATCAAATCATGGCCCATGGACAACTAACGTGAATATATATGACTTGTTCTCCATATCCCGCAGTACCTTGGGTCAACAAAATTTACCGATCTCAGTTTTAATGTTTATACTTGATCAATAGCAATTGTGTTCCAAACTGCTACCATCCTTTGAATAAAGAATATTTCCCAATTTTAGTCTTCAAACTATAACGAAAATATGTACCTCACAGGAAAAGGAGGGGCAATAACCTTTGGAAGTCATAGAGTCATACAGCATGGAAACAGACCCTGTGGACCAACCTGTCCAAGGCGAACATAATCCCAAACTAAACTAGTCCCATCTGCCTGCTCCTGGCCCATATCCCTCCAAACCTTTCCTATCACTAATAATAGGAATCTCTTGTCAGAGGGTAGTGGATCTGTGGAATTATTTATCACAGACGGCTGTCAAGACTGGGTCATTAAGTATATTAAAGGCCAGGACAGACAGATTTTTAATCAGTAAAGGAGTCAAGGGTTATGGGGAAAGGCAGAGAAGTGCAGTTGGGGTCTATCAGATCAGCAGTAACCACACTGAATTGTGGAATAGACTCGATGCGGTGAATGTCCTACTCTGCTGTTACATCTTATGGTCTTACACAATAGTAGTGGAGAAATTCTGTAATTAGTGGGTATGCACCTTTTGCAGGCATGATTGAAAATCTCAAACAACATGACGTCTCCCAGTTCCCAAAGTTGAAGGACTTAAATGGAACAGATGGAAAATACTGTCAAAAGGAGGGAAAACATAAAGAAGTGATTTGTGTAGGGACAAATGAGAGAACGTAAGCAGATATTTTGCACACAAGACTTGGAAGGGAGGAATCTCAGCATTATGCTCTATTCTCCAAGAGTTTCTCAGCTCCACCCAAGCTCACTTACTCACCTTGCTTAGATTGAGATGTTGTCCACTGCAGTTGCCTTAGTTCTCGTTTAACTGGCAGTAGTTCCCATCCCATTGAATCAGCCAATTCCACCACATCAAACTCGACTGAATTGGAGTGGGTATGATCCACACCACACAGGCGCTCTTTGGCAAGAGCCACAGCCACAGGAGGACATCTTCAATCAAACAACAGGCAGAGATTAAACAGTATCAGCCTCCTCAAATGTCAAAGCTTCAATGTGCTAAGACATCTGACAAATAAGGTTTATTTAATGTTGCAGGGCTTAAATTCCTGTGCAACAGGTAAGTTGGGCAAGGACAGGAATTTGCAATGGGACTTAAACCAGGATCACTTCTGCTCTGGTTCTGGTCTAAATCAAGATTGATACAGAAGAATTCTGTTTGCGTTCTCTTCTCCAAATAAAATGTTATAGGAGTTTCATAGAATCTTGTGTCACAATCTTGTCAGAACTAGAACCAGGAATCAAAGGAGGAGCAGTAATCAATTTCTGGGAGACTGATGCCCAAACTTAGGCCATCTTTGTCTTTGGGATGAAACAATTCAAGTTTAAAATGTTTCCTTTGATTTGCCACAGTCAGAACAGAGAGACATCATTCCAATTCCCCAGAATTCTTTGTGGAAGCTGATGGTTGGAGGTCACCGACCCTGTATTTAAATAACCCTAACCCTGTGTTTTCAGATGGTTGAGGTTGTTAATGTCACCTGCTGTCGTTGCCAAGAGTCACAGTTATGACAGCAGAGAAATGTGATGCCTTTTGTCACAAAAAGTAACGATTTCAGCTTCAACTAAGTCCAAGAACTGCACAGAATTTACATTGACATGTCAGTTGATGAGATGGGGAGGAACTGCAAACGGTCACGAAATATCAGCTGCAGCAAGTTGACAGCAAAATCTTGGATGCATTGGAAAGTTTTCTGATGCTAAAGATTCAATGCAAGTGTCAACACTTGTTGAAACAATCAAGGCTCTGTGTGAGGACACAAGGTGGTAGGAGCATGGTCTGAAGCACAGTAAAAACTTGATCAATGCTGCCCCACTCGTGACAACTTAGGTCCAGAAGATCACAGAATCCCTACAGTGTGGAAACAGGCCATTCCGCCCAACAAGTCCACACTGACCCTCAGAGCATCCCACCCAGACCCATCCCCCTATAATCGAACTAACCTACACATCCCTGAACACTACGGGCAATTTACCATGGCCAATCCACCTAGCCTGCACATCTTTGGACTGTGGGAGGAAACCGGAACATCCGGAGGAAACCCACATAGACATAGGGAGAATGTGCAAACTCCGCACAGACAGTCGCCCGAGGGTGGAATCGAACCTGGGTCCCTGGCGCTGTGAGGCAGCAGTGCTAACCACTGAGTCACCGTGTCGCCCTCTTACTGTGTATTTTTTGATTTCACAAAGCTAGACAGTAACTGCTTGCAGTAGCATTCTGCAGGCCTAACATGACACTGATTTTTACTGATCCAATTGAAACCAGACATCTTCATCTCACTCTAACGCAACTGCACCGGTACATTGTGATAGGTCAGGATTTTGTTTTGTCACATAATTTGCTTTTAATTGATAGATAATTTCATTGTTTCCTTTTTCAAGGGATTCCAAACAACTCTGCAATGAAATGCTCTCTCATTCAGCATTACACTGTAGAGTCATTACCTTCAATCACTATCACCAATGATAGTGGGAACAACATTTACCTCCTTGCTATGTTTCTCAGTTGCATGGGTCCGCTGTAACACTGGAGGCGACAGGTTGAAAAGGTTGGGTGCATCAACTCTACCCAGTGCTGGGGGTGCAGTTCCAGGTAACACAGCAAAGTTTCAATCCCTGAAAGTTAAACAGAAGTATGCAGGAGTCACCAATGTGTTGGAATCAGTGGTAGAGAACCAGCAACACTTTCCTATGTAAGCTTTCTCACATCAACAGTGTGGGCTTTACAAAACTTAGAATGCTAATGAAAAGTACAGCTCATAATCAGCTCTGTTTAGTTTCTGTGCTATTCTATATTTAATATACAGTAGGTTATTTTTAAGTCAGATATCCAGCCACAGACAAGTTAGCATTGGGAGAAGCAGTGTCACCTACCTTCCTCTCGGATATCTAACATCTCGACAGTTTTCTGGATTGACATTGCCCTCTCGTGCCTGTGGCAGACCCTTGAAGAACTTACATCAAATTCTTCGAGGGACTGGTCTCCCTCAGGGGGCAGTTCTTCAGATGGGCCAGGGATTTCCAGCAACTCATCGTCTGTGATGGCCCAACACTGTCATGAAGGGAAAAAAAAAACACACAGGAATTGCACCATCTATATCTGCAAATTAAAATCAAACATGTATCATTATAGCCTGATTTCAGGAAATCAGAACACCTAAAAAAAAACCTGAGTACCGATGGCACCATACTCCTATCACATCTTTAAAGTCAACTGATGCAGGTTGGGTGACCGCTACGCGGAACACCTTCATTCTGCCTCTAGAATGACCCCAAGCTTTCTGTTGCCTGCTGCTTCAACACACCAAGGTGTTTCCCTGGTCAACATCTCTGTCTCAGGCTTGCTGCAGTGGTTCAGTGAAGCTCAGCCCAAGCTGGAAGAACAGTATCTCAAGTTTTGCTTGGGAACTCTACAGCCTTCAGGACTCAATACTGAGTTCAATGGCCCTGTGGTCCTTCTCCCATGTCCTTGCCCAACACCAACCCCCTGCTCCAACACTAGGCTTTGTCACCACATTGGCTCCTACGACAACCATCCCACTACCAGTTACTATATATACTGTACTGCATACAGTTCTGGTCACCACACTAGCAGAAGGATGTGGAAGCTTTGGAGAGGGTACAGAAGAGGTTTACCAGGATATTGCCTGGTATTGGGGGGGTTTTAGCGATGAAGAAAGGTTGAATAGACTGGGTTTGTTTTCACTGGAACACATGAGGTTGAGGGAAGTTTATACAATTGTGAATGGCATGGCTAAAGTGAAAAGTATGAGGCTTTTTCCATGAATGGGGGGGGTGGGGGGGGAGTTGGGCGAGAGTTCAAAAGAGATGCACCAGCCAAATGTTTCACACAAAGGGTGGTGATTGCATGGAACACACTGCCAGAGGAGGTGGTGGATGCTGACACAATAGCAGCATTCAACAAACACCTGGATGAATACACGAATAGGAAGGGAATAGAGAAATACGAATCCTGTAAGTGAAGACAGTTTTAGTATGGAAGTGCAAAACATGTTAGCGCAGGCTTAGAGAGCTGAAGGGTCTGTTCCTGTGCTGTATTGTTCTTTATTCTACTAATGGTCCCCATTAGCAGCTATTATTTCTCCCAGGCTGACCTTTATCCAGTCCTTTGTCTGACCAACTGTTTTTCTCTCTCTCTGGGCTTCGTCTATCATTTACATCTACCCCCGCCACTCCTCCCACTCCACCTTCTGCATATAAACCAACTTTTATCTGCTCCTATGATGCTGCTTGGCCTGCTGTGTTCATCCAGCCCTGCACCTTGTTGTCTCTTTTACCTAGCTAAAATCAGTTCTGAAGAAAGGTCACTGGACCCAAAATGTTAACTCTGCTTTGTCTCCACAGATGCTGCCAGAGTTGGAGATTTTCCACCAATTAAAAATAGTCATACCTCGCAGTCATGTGGGTTTAAATAGGTCTAGCAGTCAGTAGAACACAAATAATTAAGAGCTGGATTTGATAATTTGGCCCATCAAGTCTGCTCCGAATTTTCTAGGTCATGGTTGATCTTGGGTTTCATCTCTAACTCCAATATTTTGCAGCATACAGTCCATCCACAAATATTATTAAATAATAATATTTTACTGCTAAAATTTGGTATCTTGGAAACTTGTATTGCAGTAGTTGTGGAACGATTGTTGATCCCAATATAAGGTGATAGCCATCAACTATGGAAACAACAGCTGCTCCATCACTAGTCATGTCATTCTGGGAGCTGGCTTGTTCTCTTGATGTTCAACAATTAACATTTTAACCAATTTATCAGGTCATTCACAGTTCTAATCTTTCCCCAAATACTGCACAAAATCTGACAAACACCCAAAATATTCCAGGTTTTAAACTGTATGTGAACATATGCATGTGGCTTAGTATTGCACTGAGAGCTGTATTAAAATCAACCTGTGATTAAAATGAGGGGGCGTGGGGAAAAGAAGGCAAAAAAAGAGATCACAAATATCCAGTGAAGCATGTTTTGAGACTTACACTGACACCCTGCTGTTTCTGATAAATCTGACGGCATTTGCAGGGTGGGAATACTTTCTGTACCAGTTTCTTGACTGTATAATAATCCACAGTGTCAGCGTAAATGTGCCGGCGCAACTCATTCAAATCTCCACCCTGAGAAGAAAAGTCCAGGAATTAAACAGATCATCAAGGATTCACCAGTTAAAAACACTGTTGTACAAAAAAAAATTCACACGAAGGGTGTAAACACCCAGACTTCTTTGAACATCTTACTTCTGTGCACATGCACGCGGTAGGATTGTCAATTCTGCTGGCACACCACCACTACACCATCTCCATCTCTATCCTTGCGATTCTGCAAACAGTTTCCTAAACTAGTCATCTTATAGGATTATGATATTCCCAACCACTCAGGAAAGTTGGGGTGGGGGTTGCAGAAAGAGGGAAGTGTCAGCATTCCTTTTGTTTGCTGAAAATGGAAGGAAAACAGAAATGCAAGTGGAGAGTGACCAACCTGAAATATTACGCCACGTTTCTCTATCTGCCCTGGAAGGTCTGTTGAGTACTGCCAATATTATCTGCTTTTCGCTGAATTCCTTCTTAATACTGCCAACTGGATGGCCCCTATTAGCTTAGCCATCTTCACTGCCACATTTAAACAGAGATACACCAGACGGGGGGAATAAAATAATTGCCCTTACAAATCGGCTTGCAGTGGACTTATTTTTTAATTCTGTCGTGGGGTGCGGCAAGGTCAACATTTTTTGCCCATCCCAAATCATCCTTGAACGGATGGGCTCACCGGGCCATTTCAGAGGGCATTTCAGAGTCAACCACACCACTATGGGTCTGGAGTCACATACAGGCTAGACCAGGTAATGACAGCAGATTTCCCTAAAGGAACACAGGAATAGAAGGAGGGCATTCAGCCTGGTCAAATCTACTTCACCGCTCAATACGATCATGGTCGTTCTAACACTTCCAGGCCTTTTATCCACATAACTCTTATGCCATGGTAAATCAAAAGTCTAATCAATCTCTATTTAAACATACTCAAAGATTGAGCTTTCACAATCCTCTGGGGTAGAGAATTTTAAAGATTCACCAGCATCTGAAAATAAATATTTTTCCATATATTCTGATTTTGAAAACCTCTAAAATCAGCCTTCTTTTTGCCTAGAGGAACAAAGAACTTTACAGGTCAGTAACCCTAACCATTCAACCCATCATGTTTGTATCAGCTTCAAAATAGCTATCCAGCTAGTCTCATACTCCAGCTTTATCTCACAGTTGTGCCACTGAGCCGATAATGTCTCTCCATATTTCTTCTTTCAAAATACATTACCTCACAATTCTCTGCATTTAAAATTCACCTGGCAGATGTCTGTCTATTTGGCCAACTTGTGGATGCTCCTCTGAAGTCACTCAGTGTGATCCTTACAACTCACTATTCTCCCTAGTTTAGTATCATCTGCAAATTTAGAGATTTTGGCCTCAACAACCATTTCCAAATCTGAAAAAGCAAGAGTCCCAACACACACAGAAAACCTCGCCAGTCCAACAAATGCCATCTACATGAGATATACAAGATATAAGAGCAGAATTAGGCCATTCGGCCCACCAAGTCTGCTGCACCATTTGACCATGGCTGACATGTTTCTCCATCCATTCGCCTGCCTTCTTGCTGTAAACCTTGATCCCCTTATCAATCAAGAACTGACCTCTGTCTTAAACAAGTTAAGAGACTTGGTGTACACAGTCTTCTGCGACAATGAGTTCCACAGATACATCACCCTCTGGCTGAAGAAATTCCTCATCTCAGTTCCAAAGGGTCACCCGTTCACTCTCAGGCTGTTCCCTTGTCTCTCTTATTAGTGGAGACATCTTCTCCACATCCACTCTAACCAGGCCTCTCAATATTCTGTAAGTTTCAACGAGAACCCCCTCATCCTTCTAAACTCTATCGAGTACAGACCCAGAGTCCTTAACCACTCCTCTTTATCCCCGGGAATTTTCTTGGAGTTTGTAGGGAGGAAGTTTACAAGACCAGCATATCCTTTCTTAGATACGCTCCAAACTGCTGACAATATTCCAAATGTGGACTGACCAGAGCCTGGTAATGCCTCAGCAGTACATCCCTGCTCTTGTACTCTAGACTTCTTGAAATGAAAACTAATATTGCATTTGCCTTTCTAACCACCAACTGAACCTGCATTTAACCTTAAAAGAATCCTGAACTAGGGTTCCTAAGTCCCTTAATGTTTCAAATTTTAAAGCCCTTCCCCATTTAGAAAATAGTCTAAGCGTCTATTCTTCCTACCAAAGTGCGTAACTGCATACTTTCCTACATTGTACTCCATCTGCCACTTCTTCGCCCACTATTCTAGTCTGTCCAAGTCCTTCTGCAGCATCCCCGCTTCCTCAACACTACCTGCCCTTCCTACTAACTTTGGGTCATCTGCAAGTCTAAACAAACCATCTGTGCCAATTTCAATTTGTGCTACAAGCTTATTTACTTTGTTTAGTGTACGATGTGCATTTAAGTACAACACCCTCTGTCTGATGTTGACTTTCTCCCTTCTCATTGTTGTCCCCTCAACTGCTGTGCCTGAGGTTAGATCCTTGACCCGCTCCTTTTAGGATTCTGGAAACTTTAATAACCTGTGAGCCTTCCCTCACTTAACCTTTTCCATAATTTTCCATGCAACTCAACTGACCCCCCTACTAGTTAGATTAAAGCCCTATCCTTAGCTCTAGGTATGCAAGTTGCCAGGACTCTAGTTCTATATCTATCCGCAGTTTCCTATCTTTTAGCCAACTTCTAAACCATGCTGCCGAGGACCCATCAATCCCAAATATTTCTGATTTGCTAACCAACCTGCCATATGGCACTGTATCAAATGCTTTCTGAAAGTCCAAATATACAAGATCCACAGCACTACTCTCATCCACTGCCTGTTAAAGCACGCAGTTAAAGAAATCAATTAAATTTGCCAGACATGGCCTGCCATTGACAAAGCCCTGTTGACTGCTTATTACTAACTTATTCTTCTCTAAGTGCATATTTATGTTATTCCGCATGATGGTCTTCATCCGTTTTCACACTATTTATGTCAAGCTGATAATTCTGTTGTTTCCTGGGATATTCTTTGCCTTTTCTTAAAGAACAGTATCACATTTGCAATCCTGCAGTTCCTGGGGACCAATCCTGTGTTCGGAGAGGCCTAGAAAACTTCTGTCAACAGCTCCACAATTTGCTCCCTTACCTCTCAACAATGTAGGCAGCATCCTACCTGAGCTCAGCAACTTTACCTGGAGCGCTGCCAGCCTTTTTAGCACATCTTCTCAATCTATCACTACACTGCTCAGTTGGTCAACACCCACATTTTCACCTGGGCCAGTGTCACTATGTTCTAATTTAGTAAAGAATAGAAGCAAAGAAAAAGCTGAAAGAACTGCGGATGCTGTAAATCAGGAACAAAAACAGAAGTTGCTGGAAAAGCTCAGCAGGTCTGGCAGCATCTGTGAAGAAAAGGTCAGAGTTAACATTTCAGGTCCGGTGACCCTTTCTCGTTCATAGAAGCAAAGTACTCATTTAGTAGCGAGAAATCAGAATTAACGTTTCGGAGCCAGTGATCCGAAACATTAACTCTGATTTCTCTCCACAAATACTGCCAGACCTGCAGAGTTTCTCCAGCAATTTCTGTTTTTGTTTTGGATTTTCAGCATCCACAGTTCTTTCGGTTTTTACTCATTTAGTAGCTCTGGAATACCTTTTGCTTCAGTGAGCAACTTACCCTGCTTCTTCCTTATGGGCTCTATTCTATCCTTCACTAATCTTTTACATTTGAAGAACATTTAATCATTTGTTTCAGAACAGGCTGCCATCCTTTCCTCACGCTTCCCGTGAGCCTTGCCTATTCCAACCTAAACCTCTCTCCTGTATTTGAGATACTCTTCCTGATTTCTACTATTATTATTCCAATATGTAATCATATGCCTCCTTTTTCTTCTTTATTTTCTCATCAATATCAACAGCCCCAATTTCTTCAAGCTATCCTCATTACTGAAGTTTCGCATTTCTGAACCGTTCTTGTAAAACGCTTCTGCACTCTCTCCAACGCATTCAAATCTTTCCTATAATATGGCACCCATAACCCAATACTCCAGCTGAGGTCTAACAAGTGTTCTACATCACCTCCTTGCTCGTGTACTCTTTGTTCCTTCACAGGATGTAGATGTCACAATTATCTCTAGTTGCTTTAGAGAAGATGGTGGTGAGCTACCTTCTTGAACCACTACAGTGCATTTGGTGTAAGCAGACCTACAATGCCATTAGGGAGAGTTCCAAGATTTTGACCTAGCCATACTAAGGAATTGCAATACATTTCCAAATCTGGACAATGAGTGGCCTTGGGTGGGAGGGGAGTGGGGGGAGAATTGTGGATGGTGGTGTTCCCAAATATCTTCAGCCATTGTCCTACTAGGTGGTTTTAGTTTTGAAGGGTGCTGTCTAAAGGTGCTTTAGTGAATTTCTACAGGGTGTCTTGTGGATGGTATGCACAACTGCTACTAAGGATCAGTCATGGAGGAACTAAATGGATGTGGATGTATTGCCAATCAAGTGAGCTGCTTTGTCCTGGATGATGCCAAGCGTCTTGTGTGTTGTTGGAGCTGCACTCTTTCAGGCAATTGGGGAATATTCCTGACTTGTGCCTTGTAGATGGTGGACAGGCTGAGGAGGAGAGTTATTTGATGCAAGATTCTTAGCTTCTGGCTTGCTCTTGTAGCAATTGTAATTATAGGGCTAGTCCAGTTCAGTTTCTGGTCAATGGTCACCACTAGGATTTTGATAGAAAGTCATTGATCCTGAACTAGTGGTGTGCCACACAGATCAGTGCTGGGGCCACAATTATTTATATTATGTAATAATGACATTGATGAAGGAAGTGAACGTAATATAGCCAAGTTTGCAGATGACACAAAAAGGTGGGAAGGTAAGTGGTGAGGATGACACAGAGTCTGCAGAAAGATATAGATGGGTTAAGTGAGTGGGAAGAAACTTGGCCAATGGAATATACTGTGGGGAAATGCAAGGTTATGCACTTTGGCAGGATGAAGAGGAGCTGAATACTACTCAAAGCAAAGATATTTGGGAGTCCTTAACAATGAATCATAAAAACCTAGTATTCAAATTTAGCAGGTAATAGAACAGGTCTTTATTTCAAGGGGAATGAAGTATGAAAGTAGGGAGCTTTTGCTAGAACTATACTGTAGTGATTGTAATGAGGTCAGCCAAGTGGACCTCACAGAATATGAGCTCCCTGATTGGGGCTGTTAATCTGGTCCAATCATGGAACCCTAGCTGACAAATATAAACAGGACCAGGAGGTTCTGTCCACTCTGACAGCTGACTTTGAAGAAGCTGGATCATTGTCAAGGAATTTTCACATGTAAAGAAAGGGTAACTTAGTGATAAGATGCCGGCCTGTTGGGAGCTATTTCATTTACAAAGCACTAGTCAGTACCACAGCTGAAAAACTGACATTTTGAGCTTTTATCCAAGGAAAAATATACTAGCATTTTTCAGTCTAGAGAAGGTTCACTAGGTGATACCAGGTATGGAGGGATTTTCTTATGAGTTGGAATATAGAAGAATGAAAGGTGACCTTATTGAAACAGACAAGCCTGTTAGGGAACTTGACAGGGTTATGCAAAACTGTTGTTTCCGTTGTGGGAGTGCCTAAATCTGGAGGGCATAATCTCAGAATAAGGGGTCGCCCATTCAAAACAGTGATGGGATGAATTTCTTCTTTCAAAGGGTAGTGAATGTGGAATTCTTTACTGCAGAGAGCTATAGAGGCTGGGTCATTACGAATATTCAAGACTAAAATAAACAGATTTTTAATCAGTAATGGAATCAGGGGTCAAGAGGAAAAGGCAGGAAAGTAGAGTTGAGGATTATCAGATCAGCCATGATCTCACTGAATGGCAGAACAGACTCGATAAATTGAATTGCCTACTTCTGCTCATACGTCAAATGGTCTCCTTTGTGAAGCAACTAAAGATGGTCCAGCTGAGGATAAGGAGACAGGCCTGAAGCGTCAGTTTTCCTGCTCCTCTGATGCTGCTTGGCCTGCTGTGTTCATCCAGCCCTGCACCTTATCTATTTCTGAGCTCCCTTCTCCCTCCCCCCACCTTTTTAATTCTGAAGAAGGTTCCCTACTTGAAACGTCAGCTTTCCTGCACCTCTGATGCTGCCTGGCCTGCTGTGTTCCTCCAGCTCCACACCCTGCACACAAAGACCTAGATTACTATATGTATAACAGGAGGGGCAAAGATCCCAGCACCAACCCATAGAGAGCTCCACTACAAACAAACCTTCCTCCACCCCTAGAAACACACACACTGAACAGTACAGGCAGTCGCTGGGTTGCAAACTGGGCTCTGTTCTGGAGCCCAAAGTTGATTTATAAGCAGGTCAGGACACAACGCGGGACCATGTTGCTGGTAACATGCAGGAAACCTAGAACAGTGAAATGAGATGTGTGGGACTGCACTGCTCAGTTAGGAGCACTGGTAAATCTGACAGCTTTAATTCGGGATAACAAGGTGCAGAGCTGGATGGCTCCTATGATGCTGCTTGGCCTGCTGTGTTCATCCAGCTCTGCACCTTGTTAT